CCTAGAAAAACTTACTAATTTTATCTTGCAATTTGCTTAAAGGAAATCTTAACCTAGGGCGTAACCAAAAGAATATTGTAAATCAAGCACCAAGTGCAAGAGTCTTGACAAAACCACCACCAACAAGTAGACTGTATGCAACCGTGTTTGCAGTTTGAGACTTCATTTCAGTTTTTTAGATTAATTATCTTTAACAATCCAATATGAAAATATATAATCATATCTATTTCTTTTTAAATATACACTATAACTGGTCAACAGTGTAAAGACCATTGTTACTACTCACCTAAATAAGAATTAATACCCACAGGAGGTACGGCAGTATCAGTAGGCTTGGGCTCGAGAGCAAGACTTGAATATGTCTTCTTATCTATGTTCAGACCTCTTAAAACTGTGCTCTTCAAAAGTGAACCTGCAAGTGAATAAAGATAAGGCATGAGCAAATAAAATAAATAAAAAGCTAGTTTGTAAAAAAAAAAAAAAAAAAAAAAAAAAAAAAAAAAAAAAAAAAAAAAAAAAATTGACACCTTTTATCATTTCTAAATTGATGAACTTATTTTAACATAGCAGAGTGCATGCTGTTTGACCAATGGCTCCGTCAGTGAATCTTAAAACCATCTCTCTCTCTCTCTCTCTCTCCATAAAATTCCAAACAATTTTATCAACTCACCTCTCCAATTTCCAATTCCAGGTAAACCAAGGAGCAAGTCTCCATTCTAGAATAAGAAACAGTGATGTTTACTTCATTATTTTCAGGAATTCATTTTGAAACATACCTAAATTTCCCTCTTGCATGGCAGACTAAAATCTTAAAGCATTTAGGGAAAGTCCTTGTTGAGTTGAACCGTTCTATGTAATTTCAATAGCGTCAAGGGAAATGAGCCCTTAGAAAAAAAGCTGCATATTAATGAAGGTAAACAACAATTTCAATACTAAGTATATTTGAGAAAAATTACTGCTTTATTGTTTGTGAGTCATCATCTTATTCTGCATTAGATATACTTACTGGGGCTAAATCTAAACTGCTACCAGCCTGGCAGTAGCCATATTCTAAATGTCCATTCTCCACTGGTTTATTTTCACATGGTTCCATACGCTTTTGGAAGTTCAGTTCCTTGGTTAGTATAACACACATTCCAAAACCCCATTTAAACTGGCTCTTTTTTAACCTGTGAGCGCATGTCTGGAAAAACAATGACAGGACGTCTTAACATGTATTTGTTATCCATTACAGACTATAAGCTAACATCCACTGAAACACTCTTAGGCAAAATTTGAAAAGATATTTATTCATGCCAATTTATCACCGATTATTTAATTAATAATGTCTCAGTGTATGAAAATTCGAACCTACATCAAACTTTGATTCTTATTACCCCACAAACTGTGAACGGGCATTTAATTTATTTCATTTTAAAACCGACCAATCCCCCCAACCTCCAACACTAGCGAGCATGCACACGCACGCACGCACACACACACACACACACACACACACACACACACAGATGCCTGTTCTAAAGATTGTTAGGGATCATTCCCATACCCTATCGTACTAGTAGGATCAATCTATCTCCAAGGGTTTCTCCCTAAATTGCATTTAGTTTAAGCATGAATAAAAGTCAATTACCCCCCTATCAGCTTTAGTGGGCGTGACAGACATTTTAGCAGCTTAAACTGAATGCAATTTCACAAGAATTCCTTCAGAGTTAGATCGATCCTGCTAGTACGATAGGTTTATGGGAACCCAGTCTTAAAGTAATCCCCCACTTACAGCCACAGCTCCGCCTGGGCCCTGACTACTTAGCGTTACTCCTAGCCACTGGTCATCTTTATCTTCTTCACTGGTAGGAGCTGAAACAAGACATTTATTTCCTTAAAATTATATGACATTAAATATTAAACATGAGGATCAGAGAAGTGTGGTTGCCTTCTGGGAATGAGCCACCATACTTCTCTGACCTGGAAGTTAAAATGAAAAATCATAAGAAAGAAGTTAAAAAAATAATTTTCTTATTCTGTTACTGACAATTACTTAAAAATTATCTCCCACTTTCCAAGCAGTATTAGAAATGACATTTTACTTAAGTAATAATCTTGGCATTTAACTCATGACTTCTTTGTCTGAATCAAACTTTGAAAACATTGGTATGTTCACAAAGAAACCATTGTACTAGGTATTTCCAATTAACTCTGCACAGAATATCACTGATTCAGAAGCAATCAGATTAACAGATTAACAGGCGTCATCTTGTTTCCAACATATTTGTATACTACTGACTTTTCTGTATTCTACTCAGTGGCAGGAGGAAACGTGTTAATCTTTTAATCTGATAGCATTCAGCTAGAGTCCCCACATAGACAGTTCGAACTACCTAGTAAGATTCATTTCATTGTGAAAGCACCCTAAAACACAACCCACTTTGATCTATATTTAGCTGCTGGCAGTCTCCTGTCTGTGTAGAAAGTGGACATCTATAGATAGCACCTGGCCGCTGTATACTTGAGAAATCTGCAAATACTGAGTCTGCTCTAGGTGCTCCCACCAATATTCTGGAATGAAATAAAACATGGTTTTTAATATTTGAAGCCAAATATGTACAGTGACGACACAGAGCATGATAATACTTGCTTTTGTATTTTTCTTTTCTTTCAAAAATATATTATCGTCATTAACTAAATGGCTCTCTGTCCACTGAAAATTAACCAAAGGAATTTTCATCACTGTTAACAAACTGAATTATTTTTCTTATTAATAATTTAATAAACTGAATTATTTTCCTGGTAATTAATGTATTATTTGTTTAATTTCTAAATATATATAAAAAATCAAAATTTGAAAAATATAACAAACACATCAATGAAAGAAAGGAAATAAAAAATCAATAATAAGTCACAGATTGAAATTTTGGACATCGCCCATCAGATAAATTGCTCAGCAGAAGACCAGTTTACAGATAAAATAAGCTCCAGGATGGACAATTTGTAAACACTACAGACAGAGGAAACTGGCAATTTCTCCCCTCCCCCGCCATAAGTGGCTGTATATTTCATGTGGCCTCAGTAGTGGGGTCACCACCAGGTCAGGGGTGTGAATTTATCAGGAACAAATGTTTTACATTAGTGGCTACTTTTTTTTCTTCTTTTGAAGAATATGATCCTTGACATCCTGTCTGTATCTTTTATGTATTTCATGTCTTTATTTTTTTTTTTTTGGGGGGGGGGAAAACAATATCTAGATAAAAATTGTTTGCCAGTGTAAATTGAACATTTCTAATTTTTTCCCAAATCTTATCACAACTAACTAATTCTGGTGAATAACTTAGCATCAAACTCTTAACATAGCTTTTAACACCCCCTGAAAAATACTTAAAATAGAGCAATAGCTGCCTCACTAGACCCTGACAGATGTAATAGAAAACTCAAACAAAACACAGAAATCCAACACCACCTGTGTTAAACAAACTCCATGTCAAGATGTGGAGTCTTTTGGGCTGGAGGGTCCCCAGCGTAAACCCTGATGTCACTCTGAGCATGGAAGTTTATCCTATATACTTCCATGCTCTGAGGTAGGTAGATAGGGAGATGTGGGGCCTGTTTCCAGTCAAGATGGGCAGATGTAAGTGAGAACATGCCATCTCTGCTGGCTCAAGGTCTAATTAAGAATTTAGTTCACAAAAGGTACAGGTACATCAGGTACATCTATTGCATCTATTGGTTGGGTTGTCATGCACAACAAAGCTTTATCCCCCCCCCCCCACACCCCCATCAGGCCAACATTGTCACTACAATTCTAGGGACAACTCTACTGATCTGCTACCAAATGCCACTGCATTCAGGAAAGCTGTCAACTTCTGTTGGGTTGACTTCCCTTGATTCTGCCCAAAGGTCTGATAAGAAATTGAATATTAAGTTAGGCTAACCAAATATGTTTGGAAAGACACCTAGAGAATAATATTTTATTTTCTGGTATACAACAAAATTGCTGTTCCTTTGGCATTGACTGCATAAGTCACTTGTTTGTTTGAATAACAAAAACAGAGCAACTGACCTCCCCCCCCCCCTCAAGAAAACAATCCAATTTACTGAAGAAAAAAGTTACATTTACTTTTAAATTTAGAATTCTGCAATCTTTAACTCCCAGTGGCACCCTCTCACAATAATCACAGTTGAAGTATTTTGTTAAATTGTGAAAACAAAGGAGTGTAATAACACTCCATTCTGTGTTTATCTTGTCTGGCATGCCAAACCCACTCTACACAGACTGACTTACTAAAGACAATCTACACATACTGACTTACTGCATTGCCTTATGTGGTAAATTCAGACAGGGACAATGTGCTATTTGATTTTATGGACTGACATCTACAACTACCAATGTTTCATTTCTTTTTCCCTTCTGCTCCCTCCCACGTAAGACACATAAAATGTTCTTCTCTAGACCTCAGAGCATGCCTTTTCTATCCTATATGGAAGAAGTAGGGGCTGTTTAGCTCTCTCTCTCTCTCTGTGAGAGAGAGAGAGAGAGAGAGAGAGAGAGAGAGAGAGAGAGAGAGAGAGAGAGAGAGAGAGTAAATGAGTGAGGGAGAGAGAGTGCTTGCCTTGGTACTTTCTATACTTTTTAATCAATTCTCCTTATCTTTCTCTCACTTTTCCCACTTCAATTGCAATCATCATATCATATCTATCAACACAAACAATTAATTTGGATTCCTGGTAATCCATTTAATAAATTCTTATCAGTCTATTCAATCTTGAAGTACATTAACTTCTCACTAAGACTGTAGAGTGCCACGTACATTTCCTGGCTGCGGGAATACTTCAGAAATTCCAGAAAGAAATATTTCCTGACTTGTCAAGTGGATCTGATGGATCAGTTCCAAGCCATCAGATAAACAAACACTCCTACTAAAACTCCAATATTCCTAAGCATTTTTTTGTACATATGCAAAAAAAAAAAAAAAAAAAAAAAAAATTCAGTACAACAAATCACCAAGTTTTTCCCCTTCATACTTGTCAACCAGGGCAATATATATCTGAATTGCTGTAAGGCATTATCAGCCCGAGTAAAAAAACTAAAGCACGTCTAGAAGGACTAACTTCGCCATTTGAACACTGTTGCCCTCATTGCAATTCCACCAGTAAAATGCTACCAACTGCTTCTACTACAAGTGCCTCTGGTGAGCATTTATCACTGCAGGGTGGTGCCACCATGTCACCTGAGACAGCTGATATGTCATGTGTCACAGCTCCCTTTAGTACTTAACAATTGACATACAAAGCAGTAGATCTCTGGGACATTTAACGGTAAGAATGTGCCTGTGGAAACTTGAACAGAAATTTAAAGAAAACACATTTGTCTTCTTGTTTTTAATTGAATAAACAGTAATCAGAAGGGATTCAAGTTTGCAGGGAATATAAAATAACTTAAAATTAAAGTCAATTTTCAAAATGAAACAAATTCCAGACAGGATTTTACACTTTTTTTTTTTAAATATTTTCACTTTTTCGTTTTATACAAAGCAGCTTTCTTCACAAACCATAACCCATAACAGCATGACAGTTTTCAGAGAAGGACAAACATTCTAGTTTAATAGTAAGGTTAACACATGCACTTCCCCCTGTACCCCTATTCCTGCAGGACCTCCTAACCTTCCAACTATTTCTCCACAGAGATGCCTTGTTACACTGTTGGAAACCTGTGTAATTTTTTTTCCAGAGACATATTTACAACAGTGCCTGGTTGTGTTTATATTTTGTTCTAATCTGCTCAGTGGCCCCACTGCTAGGAGAGGCTCCTGTCAGCTCTATTTTCACCAAGTCTTATTTAGAAAGTTTTGGTAATCAGCAAACTATTTTCTGGCAAGTTGTTGGCAAGTTGATTAGATACCCAAACTAAGTGAAAACCACAGGAGGCCATTTTTCCTTTTTTAAAAATAGATACTAAAAATGTCTCTAATACAGTTCACGTAAGTGCTAATCTGATAAGAGCCCAATTTTTCCAGTTCAAAACCTCACTCTGGCTGCCTATGTTTCAGTTGTCAGGGTGTTAAATACTGGTCAATGACAATAAGTGAAATCATTGTGACAAGCCAATTACTACATATATCAAATTCATTCTGGGTTGAGGACATAATATAAGGAGTGACAGCTGGGAGGCAACTGCACTTGTTTGTGTTGTCACTGGAGAAAATTTACCTCAGCCTGCAACTGCCATTGAAAGAATGAAAAAGAAAAAATTTTAAACAAAATAGTCACTTATCATGTCTGCTGTATGAAATGGGCATTGTATTATAAATAAACATAGGAAATGTAAGGTTTGGCAACATCTAATGGGTCATTCCAACCATAAAGTGTTGGACTGACTTCATCTGTTGTGTGATGTTAAGGACCTTGTCACAGCAAGCAGGATAACTTAGTGATACTGTCCACACCAGAATACTTAAAGAAATTTATGAGAAATTTATTTAATACCCTGGCCATTATGTAAGTGTGCCGCCTGCATGGGACATCCGCAGTGGATACAGCCAATAAATTAAAAAGCTAAACAAGAGGAAGTGGATTTGTGGAAAACTTTTAAAAAGGAGTAAAAAACATGGGGAGGCGTGTGAGAGGCAGAGAGACTATTAAAAGATTAGGCACTTTTCCTTTCATGTACGTCCGCCATATTTAGGTCGTGGCTTTGTAGAGCCATGGCTCAACTCGATGTGAATGTGTCCCAAGTCTTCAAGGTTTATACGGTATACCACATATCATGTAATAAGATGATGGGATGAAACATACTGTTGAGTTCCAAATAAGTGAGGGAAAAAAAGTAGCCTGGGAAAATGTAACTTGTACATAAACCAAATAGAAACAGAAATACAGACAAAATAATCTTTTACTTAGGTATAACCCCAGCTTGGTCTAACATGACAGGGACACAGTGCTGTGGCAGGCGTATCTATCATGTTGTAGTGTCCTACATCACACAGCTGGTAACCTCATTACTGAGTGATGACGGCAAGTTGAATGCTACCTGAGGTAAACAGGTCATTCAACACACACTTTACTGTTCATGTATGTGTGACATGAAATGTGACAGCTACAGTTAAGATGGTAGCAGTGTGATGATTTGATGTGCATAAGTGTGTGTGTGTGTGTGGGGGGGGGGGGGGGGGAGGGAGGGAGGGAAAAATTGTATGAAGGGGCATTGCCCTAGTTTGGGGGCATTGTGGGGGCAAGGGGGGGG